CCTTACTACATTGACTATCTCCTTAAGCTGACCTCAAAAAAAAAAAAAAAAAAAAAAAACGAGAGAAAGAAAGAAATCCTTCTGTCAGGCTCTGGACCATACGCTTTGCCCACTTTATCTCGTCTCATTATTATGACAACCCTGAGGTCAGTCCTATTATTCCATTTCACAGAATGGGAAACACTCAGGAAGAATAGGTGACATGTGCAAACACACCCAGCTAAGAGGACTCAGCCCCTCACTGGCAGATCTCTGTCCTGAATGCTTGAGGTCCTCCCTACCCTTGCCCACCCCCACATTGCCCTCCTCAGTGCCTCATGGTAAGGGAGATAGGAAAAGCCAGTCCTCTGACCTCCCGCCCTGCACCCACTTCCCTGTTCCCCCTCCCCAGGCTTCCTACCTGCACCACGAGGCATTGAAAAATGTTCCTGCCAAAGCGGGTCTGAAGACTATGAATGCTGCTCATATACACTCTTGTGCTCTCTCTCACACACACATTTCACATCTGTGTTGGAGGAAACTTCCAGAAGGCTTCAGACACTTCCCCTGGAGTCAATGGGGGAAAAGTGCTGCCTCGTCTGCCAATAAATTAGAGTGGGCCAGGTATTGTAGCACTGTGAGAGGTTCAGAAATATGATGTCCTAAGAAGATGGGCCAGAAGACCTGGGTTCACATCCCGGGTCTTCTAATTATTCTTCTCTGAGCCTCCCTTTTCTCATCTGAGATGTACCACTATATCTTCCTGGCTCTTTCTGCTAGAATGCACTACTTGGAGAGATCTTTGGGAAGTCAGAGGGTTTCTGGACTCTGTAAAAGGTACTGAATTTAGCAATGTGATATAGTTGGCACGGTTAAAAATGTAGAGAAAGAAATTGGAGTGTAAAGAAGAAAGGAATGTAGGCCTTGTGATAGTGAGTTATCAGTGGCCAGACTTCTAGGATAATGGGGATTATGTAACAAGTGTCAATAGGGAGGAGTAATTCTGTGACTCAAATAGGAGGTGGCCAACTGGGGTAAAGGCAACAATGATGTATTGTAGGGTTTCAGCACAGAGGCCCTGTCTTCTGAGAACGTGGCTAAGCCCTGTCTCACCTGTGGTTTGTATCTAAATAAACAGGGAATGGACCAAATGAGAGACTTCATGTTCTAATAACATTTACCTGGGGACCAAGCAGGAGCTCAGGAGGTCCTGGCAGAGCCCTGCACGTGCTTAGGTACAGAGCATATAGTAGGGACTTTGGAAGGCATTTTTCTTGTCACAGCCTTACTGGCAACCCACCCTCCTCAGCCTCCCAGAGTGCTAGAATTACAGTTGTGAGCCACTGCACCCAGCCCACACTGCCTTTCTGATGGTCTGGGTGATCTCTTACAGTCCCTTCACCCCCTAAACTTTAGTCCTGTGAGGATCAGGGAGTAATAGGCATTCTTTACAATTGTACATAGCTCACAAAGCACATTCATAGTACTTTACTTTATTTGATCTTCAAAACAGTCTGAGAGGTTTGGTGCCTGTGGCTTAGCTAAAGGCACCAGCCACATACACCAGAGGTGGCGGGTTCGAATCCAGCCTGGGCCTGTAGGACAATGACACTACAACCAAAAAATAGCTGGGCATTGTGGCGGGTGCCTGTACGCCCAGCTACTTGGGAGGCAGAGGCAAGAGAATCACTTAAGTCCACAAATTGGAAGTTGCTGTGAGCTGTGACACCAGTGCACTCTACCCAGGGCGACAGCTTGAGGCTCTGTCTAAAAATAAATAAATAAATAAATAAATAAATCTGAGAAATAAGTAGGGTTAATCTTAGTCCTGTGATTAGTAGGTGCACTGGTACTTGAACCCCTGTCCTCTTTTTTAAAACTTTTTTTTCTTTTTTGAGACAGAGTCTCACTTTGTGGCCTTCAGTAGAGTGCTGTAGCGTCATGGCTCACAGCAACCTCAAATTCTTGCGCTTAAGCAATTCTCTTGCCTTGGCCTCTCAAGTAGTTGGAACTACAGGCACCCACCAGAACGCTCAGCCATTTTTTTTTTTTTTTTGTAGTTGTCATTGTTGTTTAGCAGGTCCGGGCCAAGTTCGAACCCACTGGCCCTAGGCACTGAGCCTAAACTCCTGTCTTCTGATCCACACACGGTCAATGTTCTTTCCATTAAATCAAGATCCAGTGCAGGGGTTATATTTGCTTTAAGGACTACTACAATCACGAGGCAGAAAAAAATGATAGGAGAAGCCCAGAAAAGCAGAGTCCCAACAACCAAATAAGCAGAAATGAACATAAACCAAATGATTTTTTTTTTTGAGACATAACCTCAAGCTGTCACTCTGGGTAGAGTGCTGTGGCATCACAGCTCACAGCAACCTCCAATTCCTGGGCTCAAGCGAGTCTCCTGCCTCTGCCTCCCAAGTAGTCGGGACTACAGGCGCCCGCTACGACGCCAGGCTATTTTTTGGTTGCAGCCGTCATTGTTGTTTAGCGGGCCCAGGCTGGATTCAAACCCACCAGCTCAGGTGTATGTGGCTGGTCCCTTAGTCGCTTGAGCCACAGGCGCCGAGCTGGTTTTTGTTCTTTAAAATTTTTTTCTTTCATTTTTAAAATTTTGCTATTTTTTTTTTTTTTTTTGAGACAGAGCCTCAAGCTATCCCCCTGGTAGAGTGCCATGGCTTCACAGCTCACA